ATGCTACTTCTAAATTTGTGTCACAATAGGGTTTGTGACTGAGCCGTGTCATGTTGCATCAGGCTGTGTAAATGACAGCCTGACATTATATGTGCTCATCATAATGCTTTAGGTATATGTATATGTATATGTATATGTATATGTATATGTATATGTATATGTATATGTATATGTATATGTATATGTATATAAAGGATTTCAAAGTTCTGTCAGTAGTTATTTGATAAAATATATATTTACTAAAACTCAGGATTAGTAGTAGGGACCAGTCAGTGAATTTAATGTCCATCTACCCAGTATTTCTGTGAAACTTGTGGGAGCTGAAATCTGATGGTGATCGGTCTTATTTTAATTTTAATTTATTTATTCAGAGGCTATTATGCACGTTCCATGCAAACTACTTCCTAAAGATGTCTGAGCTGACAGATGCTGTCAGCTTTGCATTGGGCCTCTCTGACATAATGGCTGATGAAATTGGCTGCTAAGGAGGTTCTCATTAGCTCTGACCATAAGTTTGTCTCAACGTGGCAAGGAGGCAGCATCATTTGAAAGGGAGGAAGGCGTCGCAAGGCCTGCGGAGCTGCGCGAACGTGTCCAGGTGCTGCGCGGGAACCAACCCGCCCACCATGTGTTTGGTGCCTGAGCAGAGCCGCACACTGCAGCGCCAGACGCGTGCTTGGAGACTGAGGCATCCCGAGTAATGCAGAAAGATCCTGGGCCCCACCCAGGGATTGCYGGGAGATACCTTGTGGCCTCTGTCATTTCTGAGGGTGGACAGGATGATCCTTCCAGCATTAAAGCAAATTATAAGAATCTCAGCTTCCTGCTACTGATCAAAGTCATGCTCTCCACTTAGGAGCATGCTCTGGATTTCCACTTAGTGGCAGCCGTCCATCTCTTGCTCCAGATGAGATCCCAGGTGTGGCAGGACAGTTTATACATCAAGTGGACTCTGGGAGACCCCTTCTTGAGGATTTGTGCTGTTTTGGGCTCATACCGTTCATAGTTAATTGCACAATTGCATTTTAAACCCCCTGCTGTAAGGGAGACGGAGCCGTCACTAAAGACTCTTGCTTGTTTTTCTACTATGTGGAATAACAAAAAAGACTAATCTTAAAACTGCTCTTAATGAGTATAACCAAAATATTAACAGTAGTAAACAAGAATACATTTGCTCATAACTTGTCATATCAGTGTAATAAATTAAGCCAGAAACACATTAACATTTGACAGCTTAAACAATGCAGGAAAAAATACAAACCTCACAGGGACTATGTGAAGCATGTTGGCAGTTTAACAGACATTTTGAGATGTAGATACATATATCAACCTTTCTGAATTTAGTCTTGATAACTCCTTTTCCTCTGTGTGCCAAAACACTGCCGTGTGAAGACTAATGAGTTCCAGATTTGTTTATCTTTGGTGGCTAAGGCAGATTCATGAGCCCCTTGAACCTATTTTACAGTGGTCATGTGATATCAGCATGCAACACCAGAGGCAGAAATGTCTCTTTTACGCTGATGGATATACAGCGTGTTAAAAGATCTTACAGGAAAGATGTGCGTGGCCATCTGATACAAGGGACCATGTCAAATCTGTTTTGGATGATCTGTACAAGTGAATTGTCCTGCCTGTTAAGTTTCATATGGGTCTTATGTTTATGTTCAGAGGTGTAATAACAAATGCTAGGAATAAATCTCATGCACAAAATACGGATTATTGTGTCTAACAGCAAGACTTCATGATGTGTTTTTAACAGATTTGGTATGGATGGATGATTGCTTTTTTAAACTTCCTTTTTTTTTTTTTTTTTTAAGGTTGTGTAAACTCTCAAATAAACATTGTAGCCAAGAAAGTCTGTGCCTCTGGTCCACCTAAGTGAAACTTCCTTTTCTTTTTATTTCCTTTATTAGATCTCTTCTTTATTTGCCTCTGCAGGATTTTGCTTTTCCCTCATGGTTTTATGATGTTAAAGTGTTTGCATTTGTTAACAGTTGCTGCTGTTTTYGAAAGGTGGGTGGGGGGATTATGAATATATATCTTAACCAAACAACTTACAGMATTTTGTGTAGACTTTAGTGAAAACAGCGTAGCAGTTTCCTGCTGGATGGTCTGTCTAACAGTTTCGTTGTGGATTAGTCTTTGCTCTGTTTTGAAGGGTAAGGTTTGGATCTGTCATTCCCACATACAGGTTTCAGCTTTGTTTCTCCTTAGTAGCACAAAGCTGGTGCAAAGGCACTTAAAATAGCTTCAAGCAAAGACCACTGTATGAGACTGCTGGGCACTGTATTGGATCTGCCTTTCCTGCCTGCAGATGCAAGAGGTCTGACAAGGAAAAGGGGGACAGTCAAGCCATGCAGCTAGTGGTAGCTGTAGCATTAAGCAGCTCTGAGCATTTTTTGCCTTCAGTTTTCTTGTACCCTTTTCCTGGTTACAGTCCAAAAATGTAAAATTGCATTAAATATAAAATTGTTGTACATATATACATAACCTTGTGGGACTTTTGTTTTTTCTCTTACAGGAGGTGGACTTGGCCTAGCTACACCATTAGACAGAGTAATTCCTTGTTCATGAGAGCCTCTGCTCTGCATCCTCCAGTCTTCATAGTGCTCAATTCAGGGAAGGGAGAAGATGTGAAGGAGGAAGAAGAGTATGGAGATAATTTGTTAGGAAAGTAATGTGTTAGTATTATTTATTGGGATATTAGTAAGGAAACATAACTAGATATATGAATATTTAATAAGCTGGGTGAAAGCTGGATTCTGTTTCTAGGAATTGGCCTTTGTTAACTGTTTCTAATAGAGGTTAATGAAATGAAGCCAAGGTCACGATTTATTCCGTAATAATGAAAGGTAACTGATCACCTTTTTTTTTTTTTTTTTGGGTAAATTACTAGGAATTTTGAGAACTAGACATATCCGCCTAAGTCTTAGAAATAATTACATTGTCCAGCTTTTGTTTTTTTGCTGTTTATGGATGTCTTCATTGTTTACTATATTATCCTCATGATAGAACCCAATTTAGACTGAAAKCCCTGGGTCCTAAGCATTGTATAAATACAGAGAAAAGCTTCTGGCCTTAAAAACTTACAATCTATACAGATATGGCAGTGGGTAAAAGGGAGATGAACAACTGAGTTGGTGAGAAGGGGAAGTCACAGACAGGAATTCTCCTGCCCAGGTAAMTCCAAGCCTCAACTCATCCACAGGGTGAACCACTTTTGACCTCTGTGTTTCTGGGCTGCAAAAACAACTTTTTATTTCTCATTTTCTGAACAAAAAAAAGTAAAAATCAAAAAGAGAAGCTAAAGAAAAAAGGCATCTTTAGAAAACAGTAGTCCATTCCTGTACCATGAGCAAGGACTGTTTTTGCTTCAGTAGAAGCCAGACCTCCTCATAACATACCTTGTAACCTGTTAATTATAATTTCCTTCTCTAACACTTGGATCACACTACTAAATATTTTTAAATATCTATATATGTGTTTTTTAAGCTGCTGGGTTTGGGTTACACCTTTTCCATATGCCCAACCCACACAATCCCATCAACACTTTCACACACCAGTCAAACACTCTATATTTGTGTGAAACTCACTRAAGGAAAAAAATTCTTATTACTACTACTACTAATACAAATTCATTTCTCACAACTATTAGTATTTTCCTGAATGCCACTGAATGAATTTAGTGCATTTGAATACCTGACTTTTGTTGCATTGATTCGGTGCAGATTTCTGTTATATTTACTTTTACTGTCATCTCATCACCTCATGGTTTGTATTTTCCTTTTTATTCAACAAAGCTCCCTTTACAAAAGTTAATCAGTTTCTGTATGAGCAATTCCCTAATACATTTTATGTTCTGTTGTTACTGGGAATGATGTTCTGAAAGTTGATACACATTGCAACAGCAGGTGTTAAGACAGGCAAGTAGGGAACAAAAGCTCTTACTGCATGAAAAAAGTCTAATAATAGACAATTTGTTCACCTGGCACTGGCTGCATTAGCATTTGAGATGAGCTCATTGTTATTTGGCAGTCAGATTTCTGCTGGTCACAAGGACAAAAATATAGAAAATCCAAGTTGCGGAAATAAAAGTTTGCTAATATTAGCATGACATTAAAAGGTACATGACAGGATTAGAAAGGTCACAGGGCAAGCTGATGAGCTKAAAATAGCGAAACACTTCTGTAACCGGAAAAGCGATCAATAAAGACAGTCGTGTATATTCTTCCAACATAATTACATATTAAACATTTTCAGTGACTCTGCAACTGTGCAAGCTGTTCAGAGTAGGTTTGCACTCAGAAGTGTAGTTCAGGCTTTTTCCAAGCTCTTTGAAAACAGACCCATTAGTTAGGGAAGCTCACCRTGAAAAGCAAAGTTAAGCAATCTGGTCAAAACTGAATCATCARTCCCTAAAGGCAGTTGTGCAGCAGCCCAGTGGGCCTGCAGAAGCTTCATGGCAATGCTGAGAACACGGTAACATCCCACTTGAGGCTTTGGCACAAGGAGCCTCAGGGTTTGTGTCCGGAGCCTAAACAGTCAATGTGAGGGAAAGAAAGAGCCCACTGCCTGGAAGCACTTGGATCAGCCTCCTGTCTGCTGGACCTGCCTTATGCATTTGTGAAGCAGCATTGTGGAGGAAGGGAGGGTCCTACAGGAGAGGAGGAGGCTGTGGTTCCCACCAAACCTCCAAAAAGAAGAGTGGAATCAGTGGTCGAATTAAAAAGTGCAACGCCACAGGTAAGTGTTACTAAATCTYCTTCAACTTAGCATTTTTTTTTATATGCTCACCTGGAACAAACTTTATATGCTCACCCAGCACAGACAGTGAAATAAGACATCTTCAGTCATGAGGCCTGTTTTCATGTCCTCATCTTACAAAACTGAGGAAGAAACTACATCAGTTAGATTGCTAATTAACAATTCTGTGATTTTGTAGAGCAAAAATTGGAATTTTTTTTTGGTCAGCTTTCTTTGATCTCTTTTGCAGGAATGGAATGGAGAACAACAGGACCCTGTTCCTATTTACTTCTCTGAGAGGTGCGCACAGTTTGCCTTGATCTCTGGGTGATTAAGGATGAAGAGATCACAAATGCCTTTGGATCTATTTCCCTCACCTACAATGTCAAGATAAACCTTATGACAGAAGGTCACAACTGGTGAGCTCCCTCTTGTGTTCTGTTGTACTAAAGCTTAGTGTTTGTCAGGCTGATTTTCCAATTCAGTTGTTAATCAAAAGTCTCAGCAGCCCAAGTGGATGAGCGCCTTTTCTGGGAAGTAGTCGTCTGCCAGTCCTTACCATTGTCATGTGTCAAAGGACCTCAGCTACCACAGCTCTGACTGTCAATGCACATTTTGAGCCAAAAGCACTATCCATTTAATCATAAACAAGAAAGGGTTGATGCTTGTACTGCAGTTAGGCAGGGCTTATTTCACTTCTGTGCTATTCATCGGCCTTGGATTCACTATTGCAAGCACTTGTGACAAAGTGAAGCCCGTCAAGAAAGAAGTCAAAATATTCTATACCACCRAAAGGAACTACCAAAATTAGAATACTGAATGTTCATGATTTTAACAAATTGTTTATGAGTAGACAGTGTTCTAAAAACAACTTAGATACTTAGAGCATCTCACTTTGAATGCTGAATGTGCTGGAGAAGCTCCTTAGCTCCTAGCATTCAGCTGACAAATGCTTGACCACATTSAAGCAATACAGATGTCCAGACACTGACTTGAGTCTCATAAATGGCCCTGTTACCAACAGAATCATTCCCTCCAGCAAAGGCTTCTTTTTCACCCTTCCACTCTGCTATCTTTTGGTTCACCCTGAATCTACCTTAAAATAATACATTCTAATTGTCTTCTTTTTTTTTTTTTATTCTATCTTTGAACCTTTATATTGGAATTGTTTCAGTCCAATAATGCTTTCAGTCTTGTTCTCAGTATGTAGAAGTGCATTCCCATTAATCAAAGGAAAACCTGAGTAAAGTGGTACAATCCACATTCTCATTTTGGAAAATTAAAAGGCAGTATCAGTATTAAAAGGCAGTTCTGCTAAATGTTTTCTGATGGAGGGAAAATTGGGACACACTGCATTGTCCAGTGACTTTGCCAAAAATATGACACTAAGAGATAGAATAAATGAGTGTATAAATAGTAATTGTTCTGAAAGACATAGTCGTAAATCACAAAGTGAGATGCAGGATGTTTCTTTCATGTTGATATTTGAAATGTGATCTGCCTTGAATTGAAAGAAAATCAGATTTTCCGTTTTGGTGTCATTAAAATGGTATAGAAAGTGGAACCCCAATTTCCCTGAAGCAATATCCTGCACAAAATATGAAGCTCTGCAGTAAATATGAGACCCAAGTTTTTCAAAGAGGAGGGATTTGTTAAAGAGTGCAGACCAGCAATTTGTTGCAGGAAGAGGTTATTAATCATATAACACTAAGGGTTAGCAAAGTTCTGGCCTCGAATCAACGATGCACTATAACAAATTGAATYGCTCCAATAAGAACAGATAAGGCGCTCTGTGAAGTTCTGCAGCAGATCTAGAAAGAGCTTTTCCTTCACAAAACAGCTAGCGTTATAATGAAAAATAATCCTGTTTGTTRTGACCACTTGTCTGCAGAATTTGGCCTCTCATGCTGTCTGTAGATTTTCTTCACAGGGCTCATCTATCCTGCTGTATGGTGGAGAAAACACCTGCTGAAGCATGAAGAATTTATGGGTTAGTTAAACATGGGACATTACCAAAAAGAGTTTTCTTCCCAACAGGTAGGTTCTGGTGGGTCTGTCTAACTCTGTTTCATTTACTAGACCAGATACGGGATTCTAAGAGAAATTTTGTAGCCTAGGTTTATGAAAGAGGCCAAGATGGAYGCAGTCACTCACACTAGATGCAACATTTGTTGAAATGATCATTTATCTTTAAGATCCTGCCCAGGCCCCTTATCCTGCACGTTTTTTGTTGTTATTTTTTCCAACAGAATTTCTAAGCTTCTCCCTTGAATGTCAAGATCACCTTCCTCTGTGTTCTCAGTATTTCTCTATTTCCTCCTCTTTTTTTGGAGGGTCTCTACTAGACCAGTTTCTGACTTGCCTGTAAGCAATGATGCAGAGGTTGGCATAACTACCTATAATTTGCTATAATTGCCTTTGAAAGTAGATCCATGGTAAGATGTGGAAACAAAGACCGGTCAATTATGTAGCTATGAGATCTTGTTTTATTTGCTTTGGTTTCACAGTCAGCTTGTTTGTCGCTCTCACTTATGCTGTGCTTCAGATCAAACGAGCTCCTCTATGCTGCCTGCTTGTAGAGCTTACAGAAAAGGGCCAGCCTAGGGAAGAGGCCCGGGGCCCTGCAAAAAAAGCATCAGTACTTCAAAGACCCCAGAAAAATCTTGGATGCAGCACAGATAGAAGAGTAACTCGAGTGTCCTGTGAGGCTCTAAAGTATTTGCCTGAGCCATGCAATATTTATTCCTGTGTCCTTCCCTTATGCAGCAATTTCAGTAGGACTTAGAGGAAGCAAAAAGGCTTTGACTGTCCCATAGGGCTGAGAAGTAGTCCTGCTATGAAAATGAGGAGTTGATGAAGGTCCCTGTGAAGGCCTCTGCTCACAGGGTTTGCCAAAGAAAGCAGCACTGGAAAGGCAGGAGAGAAGAGGCTGGCAGTCCTTGCAGGGCTGGGGTGAGGGAGCGTAACCAGAGTCTGGTACCATCACATGTTTTAATATAGCTGAGAGGAAAGCCTCAAATGTTCCTGGGCAAAAACATATGCCATGCAATGCCAGGCTGCCTGGAAGCTACATAGAGATCATTGTATTTCTTGTRTTTCTGTAAATTAGAAGAGATACATTTGTTGTTGTTATTCACTTTCAAGTTTTAGAAATACATTATTTTAGAGCAAGAGATTTTTACATGATTGTATTACTGGTACCTAAACCCAAGCACARTCATTAGAGATGTCCAGACAGCTTTGGTATTTGTCCACTATTGATGCATCTTCGGAATTAATAAGTCATTCCCATCCAATACAGCAATTGCCTCAGCTGCAGCTGAGAAGCTAATCTGGTTGCCAGACTGACCGATGAAAGGCTAAGGTTTCTAAAACTTGATCATAGGTGTTGAAGCAGTTGGTAATTTGAAGGTTAAATGGATATTTTTCTTCAGTGTAGCCTGCAGGTCAGCCATTACCTGGTAATATGTAGGTAATAAATAATCACTAACAATGTCAGCTCCCTGCTATTTACTCTTTCATATGATATTCTGAGTCTATTTGTACCACAGGAAAAAGTATCAGCTTAGAAAGAAAAACAAAAAGCCACAGTTGGATCTTCTTCCCRTGAAGCGTATAGAACTGCACGTGCAATTAGTGTTTTGGGCAGTTACTGAACACCTGCGAGTCTGCATGCAATTCACCTCTGCAGGTGAGAGAATCTTTATGCAGTCTTGGTATATCTCAGTCTGCACTACTGCCTCGGCTCCTAGCTAAGGATCATTGTCCAGCTAAGATTTTGGCTCTAGTGGCAGTTAAGTCATTTTATGAGAGCAAATAATTGGACGTGATTGCCTTGTTTCTCACTCTTCTGTATTTCCTTTAGTTTAGCCACTTGACTAAAACCGATTAAAAGGTATTTTTCAGAAGACTGATGCAATAAATATCATGCTATATCTGCACTAAATGAAGAATTTTCTCCCCATTATTAATCGAGCTCCTAGGTTGGACAGATAGTTTGTATTAATAAAATATACACTAATATCAAAACATTTTTCAAGCCAAATCTATTAATTACTTTTTCTATTATCTGCCTAGCTCTATGCATGAATAAATGAAAAGAAGCAGAGAGGACAGAGACATGACATGTTCTGTTATGTAAATCACCCTGTTCATCCCAGACGGTCTTATGGAGCAGTGCTAATTTATGACAGGTCACCAAATAGTTATTAATAAGTTATTAAATTGATATAAAATTAATTCAGTAATATTTCTTGAATTAACAGTGTCCAGATTCTAGTTCATGACTGAATCAGACTGTTTATTTTTATAGAAAGGGCCCAAAATCATCATCAATTTCAAACTCCTTGCTCAGAAAATTATGTTTCCTGTCCCCTAGTAGTCCTTCCTTAGTTACTGGGAAGGACTCAGCAGTCCTCTGCTTTGATGACAGACACAGCTGGAGTTACGTGGCACATTTACATTGTGCAGTCCCACTGCAATTGTAAGAGGTATCACGGATATCCAAGTTTGCTTGTGGTCTTTCCTGCTTCAAAATTTGACTCACTCCATGTCCATTGAGCTTTTGGGGACATAAATGCTTATTTGGAATGTGTGCTAATGTCATGGGCACATGGTAAAGGTGCATATAATTATTAACACACGTGTCTCCACATATGTTCACATTGTGTTTTAGACCCAATCCTACCTTTMTGATGGGCAAGTGGACCACGAGTATCACTCTTGCAAGTTTCCTGCCCAGCCTTGCACAAGAAGAGCTGAAATGTTCCAGGATGTGTTACAGTATTGTGGGTTGTCTTTACTGGTGTCCTCTTGGCCAGCTGCAGAGATACACAAAACATTCCAGGTTTATCCCACACCGTAGCCTGGTTTTCCGAGGTATGATAAAGATTTGCCTAGTTTATCAATTATCTAAACTGATTTTTAAAGTACAGAAATAGCATTTTTCCACTCATTTCCCTGAGAGTTTGCTACAGCTGAATACCTCTCCGTGTCAGAAGGGAGGTAACAGGGCCCCTTCCCCATCCCATTCTTTATCTGACAGACAGCACTTCCAGAACATGTTCCCCCCATAGCCTCAAATGCCTTCCCACTTGCTCCTCATTACATTAGTGGGTGGCCATGGACTTCCTACTCTGCTCGCCTTGGTTGGAGTTTTGCATTGAGCTTTCAATTAGTAGCATTTGAAGCAGTTATTTTGGCAGCTCTTTTCCCTCTAGAAATCCAGCTCCCTTCATAGAATCATAGAATCATAGAATGCCGAAGGTTGGAAGGGACCTCAGAGGTCATCGAGTCCAACCCCCCTGCTCACGCAGGGTCACCTAGAGCACGTGGCACAGGGCTGCATCCAAGCGGGTTGTGCTTACTGTGTGCTTTTTTTTTTCCCCTAAATAAAAGATGTTATTAGTACTTCAGGAGTTGTCAGGGGATCCACTCTGTTGTGTCTAAGGGTGAGAGAAAAAACTTGCCTGTCACTATAATAATCCCACTTCCTATGTCCATCAAATGAAGCTCATGGATTGCAGGTTGTTGCTGGAAGATCTGTCTTTGCAGATTTCTGTGCCAATTTCTGCGCCAAATCAAAAAACTGGGAATTCAATGAGAGACTAGTAGCTTAAGACTTCAATTCAAGTACGGGGAATATTTTGGTGACAAATTCAAAAATGTATGAACACTGGGTGAGCTCTCGCATGCACAACTTTGAGCCATTTGAAGTTTGCCAGGGCTCATGTCTTTCATTAGTCAAGGATATTTACTTCATTTTCCATCTTTTTTTTTCTTTTTTTCCCCTTTTATTGCCTCAGCTTTGCTCCCTTCAAGAAATAAAAAAATTGCAAGGAGGTGATTTTACCTTAAAAAGTGTATGGCAGGTTATTTAGCTCCAATGCTGTTCTGGTTCTCGGTGTAGCCTGAAACCCAGCAGCTACTGATCCCCAATCCAACCTATTTTTCCTTGCGAAGTTAACTCTTTGTATGTCAAGGGAATTACCTCTTCTCTATGAAGGTCCTAACAGACCGATATGTGAGTTCAGTGCACAGCAACCACAGAGCTACACCGAGGTTCTGACTGAGCACACACAGTGAATACAGCCCTGGTTTCTCCTTACAGAAGTTCAGCTCTTTTTTTTTTCTTTTTTTCACTCTACAGAACTCTGATTAACATCTTCATTATTACAAACTCTTACTGTACATGGATTCTTTTTTGAGAGTGGTTTAGCTGTGGACTATTGGTGTTCTGTTACTGATACAGGAATATTACCATTGCTGGTGTTATTCATAGAAGTGCAGAACTTTTGTTCTGGCCCTGGACCTTTTAATTTTTGCTTCCTCTTTTTTAAGGATTAAATATGTTTTCTAGTTTTGCTTTATTTTTTTTTAACCGTGAATACATGCATTTTATTGTTTAAAGTTCTTGGCAACATATCTAAAACTTGTGTCAATATTTTTGCAAACCAAAATTCTGTTGATAAGAATAGTCACAGGGAGCTGGGTTTGGCACTCAGGAAAATATTTGTGTGCAGGAATTTTGTTCTCCATTTCAGATGCATCTCAGAAATATTTTGGCGAAGTTAAAATAGCTTAAAGGTGACTAAAGAGATCCCGAAGAACTATGGGCTTTGGTGAGTGCATCTGTATCTCTCCAACCTGTAAGAAACGACTGACACTGATTTGAAGGTGTTGCACTGCCTGCATCGCAGTGCAGCAATGGTGGTGACGGGGTTACTTGAGTTAAAAGAGCCTCGCTGGAGAGGGGAGAGCTGCCAACAGCCCATTTTGTGGGCACCCGCTGGCTCTGAAACCTGTCTGCAGCCCCAGTGGTGTGAAACAGCCCGATATTACTGACCCTTCCAGGCATGATGTAAAAAACCATCTGTATGCACCAGCTTTGGAGGAGGCCTGATGGCAYGGGATTTGGAGTTGAGTGGAATGGGGTATACTCTGCCACTTGATTTATTGGCTGGCCAGATTAATGTGCTTTGTTGTGCAGGAGGATCATTACATGGCCAGGTGTTTATTCCAATTGGACTGTGAATGTAGCTAATTGCCAGGACTTTCATTCACCTAGAGCTTATGAATAACCTTTTTATGAAATCAAAACAAAAACTTAATCTAAATTTACAAAAGAACATCAAACCCCTTGAACAACATCCCTTCTTCAGCTTGTGATTGGAAGCCACAAAGTGGCGCAAAGGACAAGGATGTTTGTCTTCAAAGTTCTGTGGTCTCTGATGAGTACAGGAGAGCTACTCTGTCCTTGAGGATGGAAGAAGGGAAACCTTTGAAAASAGGCTTTACGTAAAGTTTTACCCCTAGATGAAAAGGAGAATCTCTTGCAAGCCTGAAGACTCGCTTTTACCCTCCCATCCTGTGGGCTCACCACTCATGGTGCTGCAGGCCAGCAGTGTAAGTGAGCGCTGGTGTTAGTAGGAGGGAATGGTAGAGGCCACACACAATCCTTCTGTAGCTCAGGTCTGGCTCTGCCAAAGGGCCCTGGGAGGCTCATATATCTTATTTTTATTTATGCTCTTGCTAATAAGAAAATGTAAATAGCTGCTGGGGTTGTCCCTGCCTGGTTGCTGCAAGCCTGGTGCACTTCTGTTTTGTCCAGCTGGGCTCCCGGAGCAGGCAGGGGCTCAGTGACTGCGCTGCCAGCCCCAGGAGCTCCCTTCCCCTTCCTCTGCCAGCGCTTCCCATGGAGGAGAGGACAGCAGAGCAATTAGCTAATTGCTTTTGGATAATCCYTCCTGGCAGGGAGGGCCAAAGCAGAGCCGGGGAGCAGCTGGAGCGATGGGGTCACTCCTTGGGTTTTGCCTCCCATCCAGTACCTCTCGCATTAGGGCAAGCCGTGCATTACCCAATGGACTGGAATGCTGGGGCCCCAGTTCTTGTCATCCTCTCTTCCACCATCTYGTCTGTGTGGCCTTAAAATTCAGCATCTCCTCCACCCTCTGTGTGCTCAGGAGATCAACCCAGTGGGACCGGGGCCATTTCTGAGTTTGATGCTTAGCACAAGACGACTTTGCRTCAGCTGGAGTGATCACAAGATAAACCATGAGCTTGGGAACRTGTTTGGCCATCCAAGTCAAACTTGTCGTAGCAGGACTTACACAGCTGCTTCTGTTTTAATAACACTTGTTTTATGTTATAGGTAGCGCTGTGTTTTCCACGTTGCTGGCCTGATGCTTAAATGTTGGAAAGCTGCTGAGCCAGAGCACGTCTGAGGGATATGTCCTACCCAGTCTTTTAGGAAGCAATAACTTTCCTCCAGCTTTTTAACAATGAGGCAATAAATTATTACCCCACCATACAATTTAATTGCACAGTTAAATTTACAAAGCTTTTAGTTTTCCCTGCTAAATACTCCGTTTTTTCATCTAATCTCTGTAGGCCATTGTTACGTTCTCAGAGAACCGTATTGGTTTCATTTCTGCTAAATGTATCACTAAATCACAGTAGGAAAAAAAACCCTGACACACTTCCCTAGAAATTTCACTGCAGCCTGTGCTTCTAACCTTGTGGCTTTGCGTTCAATAGGTCAGCAGAGATCCTATTTGTCATTACTGTTTAATTACCATGGAACCTCTAATCCAGGCCACAAATTCCTCGCTGCCCATACTTCTTTTTACTTCAGAATGCGTATCTAATAGCAACCAAGGACTTTTCCTATTTTCTCACTTGGAATCTGTTTTGGGAGCTTGGAATTGCTATCTAACTGAATCAGTAACATCTGTGACTGCGGGGCAGCTTGAGTGGGAATAGTTAGAGGGTTAGACAGATTTCCTGCATTTTAAGGCTCTTTTCCTCTGAAGAGACTGCTTTGGGACAATTCAATTGCATTTAATGCTGCTTCTTCCCCCCCTCCTCCTTTCTTTTTTTTTAAACTCACTCTTTTTTCCCCTTCTTTTCTTCCCCCACCAATTTGTTTGGGTTTAAGAAGTAAAAGTGATTTTGAGGAACCATGCCAGCATTTTGAGAAGTTTCAGTTTCAAATACATGAAAAGAAAAGGCTGAAGGGATTCCTAGAACTGTATTGCAGCTTGCAGGTATGGCTTTGATTTTCCTTTTGGCAGGCTTTTGCCATTCACTCTTTCATTGCCCTTCCAAGAAACACTGCTGGGTGCCTAAAGACCAGTCTGCTTTTTACACTTGGCAAGAGAAGATAAACAGCGTCAGTTAGTGCTTTGAAAGATTAAAAGCAACATTTACTCCTCACAAACTTCCTTTACTCCTTTCAAACTTCCTCAAGTTAATTTAAAATCCATTTTAAAGAATGCTTAACTATTAATACTGGTCTTAAGAAAAAAAAATTTTAAGAAAGTATATATTGTGCCTGCTATTTGAACCAAATAAGAGGTGGATTAAAATAAGAGCAATTCTTTAAAGCACATTAAAGAGTCTTCTCTCTCTTTTGGAAGGACTACCCTGTGCCTCAGTGACTGGTCTCTTTATGATATCTCTGCAAAAGTTCTGGCAAGAAATGATCATACTTGGAGAGCAAATTCTAATTTTTCCAGAAAGTTTTGTCTCTCCCTTTGTCCACCTCTTTTTTGGTGTTTCCTGACCTCATTGCTAGCTAAGCAAAGAACAGAAACGTCCCTTCCCTGGCTTGTGGGGCTGCTGCTAAATTCTCATACAATTAATGAGGATTTTGACTTTTGAGGCAAAACCATGAGGGCATTTTTAAAGGCTTGCATCACTTAGTCAACATTTCTCCCACACCTGCATGCTTCAGGCAATCAGGTGTTTAAAATTACAGACACAGAGCTTTGCCCCTTCTACTCCTGCAAGTGCTTTGCTTAACAASGGTGTCCTGGGGATGTTTTGTCTGTTTGTCTGTGCGATTTTTTTTCCCCCGCACTAATTAGCGTGAGGGGAAAGGGGAATCTGAGAGCACTRTGTTAACAGAAGGGATCACGTACTTTGGTTTGTATTAATTTTGAAATGACAAGACACAGGTGCATTTTTATGAGTGTAGAAAATATGTTAGCATTTTAGGTTTTTTTTTTTTTTTTAAAAAAAAAAGATCTAGTCCTTGTGCTATGGATTGATTTTACTTTAGTGGGAGTGTATCAGAAAAAAATCTCTCAAGTAAAGGAAGCTCCTGATGAAGCGAAGAGCTACATGATGTGAAAGGACTGATTATGTTTATATTACATGTTCCGTGAAAAAAAACAAGCCCCCTAGCTAGTAGTGAGAGAAGGATCAGTGGATTTGAGGAAACAACTGACTTGGTGTCTTAATTCTAAAGGAAATGAGTCTTTTGTAGATGAGAGACTTTCTGATCTAGTTAAGTGAAAGGCATGCAACTAAGAAAATAAGTTTTTCCTATAATGTTAGAGAATAAAGAGAATCAGAAGAAGTAGGGGTTGAAAACTGAAAAGCAGATTTGCACTTAGTTTTGGTTTTACCTTCAAGCATTCCCTAGCTGATGCACAAGGCCAGCTCGTTCCCCTAGTTTATCGTGCATGGCATTCTTAAGAAAAGAGCACTTGGAAGATTGACAGTGAATGAAATCTTTGCATGTGATGGCCACACTTCTATGGATGGACTGTAAAATGTCCTGGCATCCGTGGCCCACCTGGTGAGGGCCTTGGTTGCCCTTTCATACCCACTGCACAGTAARTAGCATCTGAAGATGAGGGAGATTATAGAAGGTCTGCTGTGGGAAGATGCAAGTGCAGGGACTTTGGCATGGCAATACTGAACTTTGAATACAGATCTGAACGCATTCTTGAGTCCAGAGTGGCTTTTGGTCCTCTTTTATGGAGCTGAGTTTGCAGAAACTTTTATAAAGTGTGAAAATTTGAACCTTGTGCCRCTGCTGCTTTGTACCCCATGGGACACGTTCCTGCCTTGGGGATGGGCTGGCCCACTGCACTCGCTGGGACACTTTTACTCGGTCTGCGTGGTAGGGATGTCTCAGGAATGCAAAGCCCTTCYCTAGAGTCCCTTACCACAAGGGCAGGCAGGGCCTGTGGCCAGTGCCAACTTTCTCTGTGCTTCTGTGGCTGTGTAAAGGGCAAAGGGGTATAAGGACCTTGGCAGTAAACAGCAAAAAATGAGCTTGGGCTGTTCCCTTGCCTGGCACTACAGGATTACATGGTCTTCGTGGTCATTTATAGGCACAACAGCAGGTATGAATGGCCTSGAGTCAATTTTTGTCATAACTAGTTTTGATCAGGCTGTGGTAATTGTACGGGGTTACAGAGGTTTCCAAACTGCTCTAAGGAATCAAAATCTTCAAATAAACTGCGGTGGCATTTTTATGTATACGTACTGTAAATCTTCACAGATTATTGCTCTCCTGAAACATATATCCTTGAGAACTTTGGTGCATATGCCAGTCATTCAGTCATTCCTGGGCGGCTGTATTGCTCAGGAAATAAAGCTGATTGATTAACTGCAACTGCACATACTTCACACCACAGCAGTAGGTAGGGAGTATGCTTAGGGTTGTATTAGCAACGAAAGTGACCCGTTTTGCAAAAGCACATCATTGTGGAAGTTGATCAGAAATGCAATACAGGATTGTTTTAATGGCTTTTTGGGGAATATTAAGATTTATTTTTGTGAAGACTTACTCAGCATGTTGCACAAACTCCTTTTACTGCACTAATAAGTCAATGTRTTACCAAATGTTTAGCCATTATAATTACAGCCACATGTTGTTCTTTTTACAAATAGGTCTGACTTAATTGCATCATTTTTCAGCAGGATTTATGTGGTCCTGTTTAATCTAAAATTAGTACATGCGCAAATGAAGTGCAAACTATTTTCCATCACTGAACTGTGAAATGTTCTCCAGAATAGAGATATACCAACATGTTCCTAAGAAGATGCAATAAGCAATAAAGCAACTTTGTAATTTGTGTGTATGTATATCTATAGAATTCTGTAAATGTCAAAAAGAAATTCAGCAAATTTAAGTACAAAATGAACAAGAGAGTCAGTTAAATGAACTAAATCACGTGATCTTTTTTGATCATCATGTCTTCATGTTGTTGGCTTTGGGCATTTATTAAATATAGTAAGAGCTAATGCATTTTTTATATTCCATCAGTCTATCACATGTAAATGCATCAAATTTGTAAGATGCTCTATAGGCCAAGATCATGCTGATTCTTGTCACTTTGTCAATTCTAAGTCACTGTGACTAATATTTCATGTTACCTGTGTAGGTTTGAGAGCATAAAGGCCTACACAGGGCAAAGTATAAGAATCTGGGCTAGCTTAACCTAGTCCATATGAAAAAGTTTCCATATATTCATTTTGATTTGAAAACTGAAATTCTAAGGCAGAACTGAAATTCAGAAATTGAAATTCAAATACATGCCTGAATCCCAATTAGACCCAGAAGTTTAATGGTGGAGAATGATGAAATTCTGGTCCTATTTGTATCTAATGGGAGGAAGGTGCTTTGATTTCAGTAGAACCAAGTTCTTGCCACTCAGAAGGAGGAGTTGTACTGGTTTCTGTAATGAATTCTGCTGAGTTTTAGTTGGTAAGCCGGAAAGCCAGGGAAGGTTCCCATAATGCTTAAATRAAAGTGCTAAGGTTTGTCTCTAATCATAGGAGTTTCTCTGTTGAACACAACATTTTTTTGCTGGTGTCATATTGATGAAAGCATGCAATCAAATGTAAACAAATGCATCTTCTTGAAAGCTTTTTTGTATGTGTGTGTGATATATGACAAGGGTAGAAGGCAGGAGAAAGGCTCTACTGGTGAAAGATATGTGAATGCAAACAACAGCCTTTGCTTTAAGTTCAATGTTCCTGAATTGTATGGCTTGAAAGTTTTTTTTTTTTTTTTCTATGCATCAAAGTGCTGAAATTTCAAAGACTTCAAGTAGGACCTGAGGGACCTGTATGCTGTGGTTTTAGCCAGGAGAAATACGTGGCACTGTGGGTATGAATGGGTTAACATCCTTACAAACAGTCTCTTGCAGGTCACTGCCATTTCTCTGTATTTCAGCATGTCACCACAGTAATTCACACCACCGAAACCTTCAGGCTATATCTGGTAACATTCCCTTCYTCGTGCTGTAAATAGAAGCTGCAGCTGAGCTCTCTTGAACAGTGCTGGTCCTGGGTGAGCGGTCCTTTTGTGCACAAGCTACCCACTTGTTCCTTAGTGGGGTTAAAGTGGTGTTTATGGTGTGTAAAATCCCAAAGCTACGTGATCTGATAAAATCAATGATGATCAACTGGATCATCATTGCTGGCAGTCCCTTAATCCACRTGCTTTGAGATGACAGTGAAGATGCTTCCCAAACAAGGCCCATATTTTCTGCAGTGGTGCAGGCCTGCAGTGTTGTCAGTGTTGTGTCAACCAGTGTTGTGTGCAAGATCAGGCTGGACAGTCTCTGTTATCTTCTCCCCCTTACTGTGCTATCTAGGTCAAAATATTTGTGCATGTTGTTAACTTCTGCCCTTCCTAAGAATGCTTGTTGTATAAAATTAAGTCAAATGTCCTCACCAAGGGATTTGCCACCATTTGTAAATCGTGAGCTGAATATTTACCAGGTACTTCTCATCTATACTTTCCAAACATACTTTTATGAGAATCACTTCATAAATGTAAAGCATGATAAAGAAGCGTTCATAATTTATAAAATGTCTTTGCAGAAGAAGGCACTACTGAATGTAGGGGAGGACTTACCAGCAGACACATGGCACTGTGCTTGTGACACGGCCCTTCGGTGAGTCACGTGTGGAATGCAGGTCTTTCCTGTGCAGAGGAGGTTTGGACCACTTTGGCCCCACATGAATATTGTATGAGCCTTGCACAGAGGAGAAGATTGTCCTTCAGCACACAGCCTGCATCTTCTGAAATCATGGTGCTGCTAAGTGAAGAAGAGAGACGATGCATGCTCCGCGATCTGCATGCAAGCTATTTATTCCTACATTCTGGAATTTTGGTTATTTTCGTGAGCAAATTAGCATTTCCATAACTCTATATCTGTTTTGAACAACCTCAGTAAACAACTTCAGATTCCTCCTGTGTTGCTGTAGAGCATTGTTCTTCTTCAGCATGTTCCTCTCCATATAAAGTGACCTTAATCTGTCTGAATGCCAGGGGAGCAATCACCATCTGTTGAACACTTGTCAAATGAACTAGTGACCTGCACTGATGTAATACCCTGCAACACCTGTGAACCGCTCAGCCATAGCCACCCGGCCACTGAGTGACACGGAGCAAGAAGCATCCACAACAGCTTGAAAGAAACTGGGTCGCTTTTTTGTATACTTAAAAAAAAAAAAAAAAAGAAGCAAAATTCCTTCTGATAGCTGTGAAGGTGGAAGTAATTTCAAGCCTTTATTAAGCAGACTCTGAACTGTTAATTCACAGAAATGAATACTGAAATACTAGTCTGTTACCCATTCAGTACTTTTACCACATGAAAGAGGGCACCTGGGCTCAGAGGACTGATGCACTGCTCGGTTTTCTCGAGTTGGATATTCTGGTATTTCTGATGCGTCTTGAATATGTAGAAGCAGGAAAACTTGTCTCAGTGAATAAAAGCAACAGCATTGAAAGGAGACAGATGGTGTATGTTACTGAAAATGAACTACAGTTTGTTGTTCCCAAAGAGAGAGGTCCCTGCAAGGTAGAAGTGGTTTTAAATGAGCCGTTGACATAGAAAGTTGGAAAGCTCACGCCTCAGGTAAGTGATCGTTCTAATGGGAGCCTAACTCTGCAGTGACACCAAGATTTTTTAGACCTGGTCCTTCTCCCGAATGTGCAGTTACAGATTGAAGCACTGCAGAAGCTGGAAGTCAGTACTGGGAAATCYTTAGTCAGGAAGGCTCAGCTTCTGTGAATTCAAGCGAAGATGCTGCAGAGATCTGCTTACACTCTTGCTTTGAACACTGGCAGTAGCTTTTGCACTGGTATTTGCTAATGCCTTTTTTGTTTTTATTTCTCATTTTAAAGTTGTCCCTTACAAAAAGGAGTTATTTCAACTTTATAAGAGGACTGTAAATTAGTCTTGAGCTTGCTGTGCTCTGCACTGCGCAATACTGAGGCCTTCCTTTTGTCTCTGAAACCACTTCACTTAAATGGAGATAAATTTTGGGAAGGGACTGAAAGACTTGCTCTTCTGAAGTGCTGTTCATTTACAGAAAGCTTTTTAGTAAGCTAACTCATTGCTTCCAAAGTAATTACCAGCATTAAAATGGTTATTACTTAAGAAGAAATTATGCTTTTCTCACCTGGTTTGTTACATGTTTGAAAATAGCTGTTTTCACACAAGTTTCTGCCAAAAGATTGAATATATCGTCTCAGACTGTGACCAACAACAGTCACTTTAAATGAAAGTGCAAAGATTTTTGTAAGGTACGTTGCATGTTCTTCATAGGGAATTTTTTTCCTAATCCACATTTCTCAGAGGTTGAACCATGAGAGTTCATAAACCTTACMGAAATCTTGTTTGATTTCAAGTTTTTTATTATCGTAACTCTACAAGTTTGTTTGCCACATAGTTGTTCATAATTTCTTTTTTCCGATTATAAAAATACAGATTAAAGGACAGTTACAGTTTTGATGTTGAAGGTACAAGATTGCAGAAAAGTTAAGGATTCTTTGAATTTTGCATTTAAATATATATATATATAATTATATAAGTTTATATACAAACTGTATATATTTTTTAATCCAGATTCTAGGTGGATTGTTTATGGCCGATTCATGCAGGTTGTCCGCAGCTGGTCTTGATTGAAGATGGCTTTGAACGGGGTATTTACATATTCYTAGAATACAAATTGATCTTTAATGTCTCCTGGTTACATTTGTGATACCCTTTCATATCTTCTGAGAACATGGGAAGATAATCAGCCAAAGTGTCACAAATAATCCCTTTTTTGCTGTGATAATATCTGATTTTCCATTTAAATCTGAAAGGTATGCTTTCAAATTTCTAAAGCCTCTCCTAAGCCACCATTCCACAAATAGCTGTATGCTGGCATGAAGTGTAGACAAATATACATTTGAACCTAAGTATCACTTTCTAATAGGAACTGATGAGAGATGTGTGCTAAATCTTCTCATAGCAACTATAGGCCACATTTCAGATTTGGAGCCCAAATGGATCCTGTGTAATGGTTTCCATGGTTGCACCGGGTTTCATGTACCCAACAGCATTAATACTCTAGTCCATAATATAAGAACTTTACAAAAGCAATATTTCTCTTTATTTCCTACTGTAAATTATTATTATGCAAATGATTGAATAAAGCTAGAATGTTGAAGTTGTTATATTAAACCCAACATGTTTTTGAGGTTATTTTGCCCTTCAGCAAGAGAATTTGTCCAAAAACCACAGGTACACTCAAGCCTGCAGTAGTTAAGTGAACAAAATTTCAGGTGACCCCTGAGTCACTGCTGTGGGATTTGATGGGTTATATAATAATATTCTTTTTCTTTACTAGCTTCTTAGTGCCATTTATCTTACTAGAACCTGACTGTGGATTCTTGCCCAGTGGAATCAAGTCTGCTCACAGTGGTGGACCACATTTGAAAGAAGGCTGGGTGAGGCTGAGAATTTACAGGTGARATCTCACTGTAATAACAGGACATGACTTTTAAGCACAATAGGTTGTGTTGGAACAATCAAGAACATTTTGGGAAGCATGAGGGAATGCTTCCTTTTGTATTTTAATACTGAGGTGGAGGGATGATCATAGTTGTTATCTAGAACTTTGAAGAGCTTGACCGCTATTGGAAGTTGTCAGCTACCTGATTTCTCATGTTCCTCTGAAATGCTTGGCTGTTATTTGTGGTAGTTATTAAGAAAAGAGCAGTCCATAATTMTACCTTACACAATGGTCACAGAAATCCTTCAATAAATTTTTTCGTGCCTGGGTAGATGCACTAGTCTGTGACATTCATACAATTTAAAAATGCAAGTGCTTAGGCTATGTGAATGATTCCTTTTAAAAGGGCAGTAATTTGCAGATGCTGTTTTAATACTGAGGTAAGCCAGGCCTGAATGAGAGGTAGGCTCATAGACATTTCCTGCTGTGGGGAAGGCCGCAGGTAACTGCCCATTCAATTAGCAGGTGGAAGAAATGTCCTACTGACGTTCCCCGTTTCGGTACAGTGTATTGGTGTATGGAAACCTGTCTCAAACGTGGGGTGTAAGTTTCCATTCAAGTACTGTAGAATAAAATAGGCAAAGACTTTAAAAGACAACAGGAGAAAAAAAAAAAAGAAAAAGAAAAAAGTATCCAAATTTGGGTGATTTTGGCACTTTTAACCATCAGTTGCTATTAAGATACAATTGGTATTGGGTTCTGGCCTCTACTGTGCAACTGAATGCTTGGGAGAGTGTGCAGAGCTCTCAAAGCCACCCAGTGTCTTATCTGAAGTGTTTATTATCTGGCTTACAGATGTGTATTAAAGTACAGCTTAAAGAGGAGAGCTCAGTGTGCAGAAAGGTTGAATTCTTAGCTTGTGTAAACTGTTGTTTTCCCACTGAAATCAACAAAGTAGCATTGTGCCTTACCCTAGCAGAGAACCTGCTCTCTAATGAATGTGCAGTGTATTGTTCTTGGCTGCCCCCATGAATATTTCAGAATGTGCTGAAGTCGGGCTCTGAATGCATTCATTCATAGCCTACTGTACAAAGGATCAAAGGAAAGGCTATTTCTTGATCTTGTGTACAGTAAATCCTTTGCTTTCAGGTTTACTGGACTGGCTGCCATTGTAGRGATGCTTGTTCTTCACATGCAGATCAGGAACCCAAGCAACCTATTACTTGCTTTGGACAAATGTCTTAGGAGGCTGCCGAGTTGCTTGAACATCTAACAGGGCAGGCAGAAGCATCATGACTTTTGCATACAGAGGTCCTGGGCCAGGTACAGTCTTCACTGTGAGGACCAGGTTTTTGGAGATTCTGCTTAACAGCTTTAGACAAATAACAGTGGCAAAGGAGATGTTCACCTGACCATCTGAAAAATATGAGCAGAAGGAAAAGTGACTAATTTTAAAACAAACTATATGTGTTGGGAGAAGCTTACTTTTTAATCTCAAGCTATTCTAAAAATGTTACATAGAATTTTAACAAGAGTTTGTGGGTTTTTTTACCCTTCCATCTAGTTTTGKTTTACATCTTGCAGGTTTCTTTACAGAGCAATAGTAAATCCTCAGGGCTAAAATAATGTGCAAGCAGTTTCTGGGTCATAAAACAATTGCAGAATTCTCCTTAGACAGTACAATCTTTTGCCAGCCATGCAAGTAGTCACATTCACATAAGAGTTCTTTAAAGATAACATTTGCTAAGGGTATTTACACTCTGGATATATTAGAAAAATGTACACAGTGAGGACTAATTCAGTAAGGATTAGATTTTTTTATACCTTTCTAAGTCTCCAAAGGGGATATTAACTCATTTTACAAAAATGCGCATCACTGAGTTGTGGGACAAAAATAATAGAATTGACTGTGCTCAAATCTGTTCTCAGTCAAAATATCATAGGAAGGAATTCTAGGAATTCACTTATCCTGTGTGCAGCACTGTGGATATGCACTGTAGTAATATTAGCTGAAAATTTWCACATCAAAACTGCCTTGGTGAGGGCCTCCCTTGAGGCAAAGCTTCATTACAAAAAGCAGAGAAACTGGGATGGGTAGGAGATACAGTTTTGAGAAGCAGTATTTTCTTAGTGATTTTTCTTTCAGAATAAAATATTTTTCTTTCAGGATAAAATATTTTAACCTCTGTTGATTTTTTTTCTCTATAAGGCTTTTGGTCTTCTACTAATACAGGTGAGGTTTACTAGAACTGGTTTCATGAGCTTGAAAACACAAACCTAACTGCTTCCTCTCTGTACAGACTCTCTGTAGAACACTGCATAAAGTTATTCTCATTTTGAAGTCTCAATTTTGACTTACATTGCTTCCTCCTCCTCTGATTAGGGGGATGTTATTGAGAACTGTTTGTTGTCTAAATGAAATCTTTGTGTCGGAGTGGCCCATCAGAGGATGATTTAGCAGTAATTGACATGTTACTTCTTTAAATGTAAGTAAAGCTCTTCGCAAGATGTTTCCCTTAGTTAGTCAAACTGAACTACATTGTCCTAGTAAGAAGCCCTTCCATCCAGGGTCAAAAGAAATACACAGGGTAAAGACAGACTGAATATTTTCTGGATATAGGTCTATGATACCAACTCCAAGGTCTTCCATCACCTGAAGAAGATAGCAACCCCATCCAGCTAGAAATTGGAGATTAAGAAAAACAGACAATTTCAAGTGAGAGCAGGTATTGGATGTTTGACATCTAATCAATATTTCTCTCAAAAAGTAGTAAAGGCTTCCTAGCCTAGCACCTAAACTATATTGATTTATTGGCTGGTGTTGCGCTGTTGGGAATGAGTGGGATATTGTAGCTTCTCCAGTACCTGGGCTTGTGCCATGACTAAGATGTATGTAGGAACTGGTGGTCTGTCACAATCACTGTCTGCTAGTAGAAATGTGATTAGAAAGTACCTGCAATTTGTCTTTGAATTTATATAATTTTAAAAAGTAGGGTGAAAGGTTAGCTTAACTTCTACATGGTAAGTGAATCTCAACAAATAGCTACATTCACTTTTTAGGACAAACAAGGTCACTTTAGTGAATTTTGAAAATGTGTATTGCCCAATCAAAATCTGAATTTTCCAAATGAATTAGGAGAGTTGGGATTTTGAAGTTTTCAAGGGTTTATTTTAACCAATAAAAATCGTGTGGGAAAGTCTGGCCAGTGAGTGACTGGACTGCTTCTTTGGCTCGACTGTATTTCAAGCAATTGATAATGTCTTCAGGAGCAGTTCTGCCCTTGCACTTAGTTTTTCAGTAAGAAATGCAAAGACTGGTGTTCCTAAGTTGCATGGAACATGGGTTTGATGGATTGAATGCCATTTTATTTCAGCGTGTGGGTTTATAGGCCTTCCGAGTGCATGGTAATATGTTGTTACGGGTACAGTTAGAGTACATTGGCATTTTAGGATAGTGARGTTACAGCCCTGTGTGATGCCTGTTGAGCAATTTTAACCATACCTTGGACAGACACTGTTGTGGAGGATGTCACTTGGACATCCTCTATTGTTGTTAATTCTGCTAATAAGCAACATAGAAATGAATATATATATATGTATATATGTATATATGCGTTGAAATCTGCCAATTTAGGGGCTGGCTGCACACATTTTTTTTGTCTTTTTGTGTTCTTGAATCTATATTTATACCTCACAGGTCAAATCATTCTGTTCACATCTTGGTTTAGAACGACCTAAAGCTGGTACAGTTCTGATACGCAGCAAACACACTGGCTAAATTGAGAAAGGTGATATATTCCCAGGCCTGCCACAGCTCTGACCCCTGCAAGAATTCCCTTGATAMAATACGTTGTTGTGGAATTAGACTTAGTGTTTACTGGTGTGTTAACAGGATAGTTCTTCCAGGCTCAAATAAAAATTATAAAACATCCCTTCCCTGAATGGACTGCTTAAATTGAACATGAGAGAACATTTCATATGTTGTATTTTTCTGAATGCCTCTTTGTGTACAAATCCTAATGGTCAATCTTAATTAATGGTTAATGATTAATCTTAGTTAATAAATTGTAAGGATATGTTTATTTGACTTTTCCTGTTAAAAAGACAGTTGCATTCTATTACTTTGGGTCCTCTACAGATTGTTGTAGATAACCTGGATGCTGTCCAGCCCTTGGTGTTGGAAGATCCCCAACATGGATGGAGCACAGTGCAGGGTATGTTGTATCAGGTGTGAGTTAAACTATGGGATGCAATCCAATGCCTGCAAAATGTAAGCATGCTGTCTCCTGCAAAACCTGTTTCCGTAGTTTTCCTAAGAAAGATTTGATATCAGTTTCATGTATTCTGGAAAAAAATAACAGAAGATCTTTTGGAAATAAGAGGGATTTTCTTACGTTTTGCAATATCTACAGTGAGAGTATGCAGAAGGATGGTTACTGTGAGCAGTCCAGTGTGTATCTGAGGCTGAAAAAATAATCATGTCACTGCTTTGGAACCTGATCTAAAGTTCACTGAAGTGAATAAAAAAGCTCCTGTTGGTTTTAAGTCCAGCCTTTACGCAGTGAACAGAAGTCTTGTGTCGTATCTGCTTACATGTGAAAATGCTATTGATAATTTATGTTGATGGAGCACATGGTAAGATTCTTCCTTCATTTATATAACAGGAGATAAAAGCTTGAAGTGCACAGTTAAATACATCAAGGATGCAGTTGTCTGTTCCCAGCATGATGATAGTGGCAGAACCACATACACTGATTTAAGGATATTTGATGGAAGGCACAGTCTTGGTAGTTTCCCATTAACCTCCTGCCTAAAGGTGACAGCTTTCCAATCCTGGTGAACAGTATTACTTTTAAGCCTGCAGAAAGGGAARTGCTCCTTGCCAAAAGGCATGTATGATGTCTTGTGACTTTGATTGAACTGATGATTATATGCTCTTCAAAATAATCAAGCCAACGAGTCCCGTAGATATTATCAGGAAATTCATTCCTGGAGGGCCAGATAGGATATATTTATAGTATGATGACTGACTAGCATTTCTGAGGGCGGGAGTAAGTTACCTATACCAGCTTAAGGTGTGTAAGAGTTATTGTCCCTGGTTGTATGGTAAATGAGGCTGCTGAGGGACTAGAATTAAGAGGACTGGAGAGAGAAAAGGAAAATGGCAGATTTGTGAAAATAATTTGGTTTGTATTTTAAGATATCTTTATCAAAGACTTTGCAAAGGGGTCTTCTGTATGGCCATATTTCACTAATGTTTTGGAGAGGAGATTTTTCAAGGACTCAGATAAGGTCATTTAATCTGATAGCTAAAAAAGCTCCTAATCTTTTAGATACTCAAGTAAACATCTAAGAGCCATATTCTTAAAGATGACCTAGCCTTCAAAGGAGATGGAGAAAGAAGAATATTGTGTAGCGGAGAGGTGTGCAGGGATAGGACCGAGGGAGCCACTCATCTCTGATAATAATAGCCTGATGTTTTCCAGGGGCCCCATGCTGTCCTGGTATTTTGGAATCCTGGAAGATGACAGTGTGGGGATACAGGAGTAAAAGACTTTTCTGAGGCAGGCAGATTAAGAAAGTGCTAGTTGCAGAAGTCAGAGGCTGAGAGAGATGAACTAAACAGTACTTTATCTCCAGTTTTTACTCAGTGTAATTGACTTAGTTTTATGAGTAATATGATGGAAAGAAATATATTGTTAAACCAGTTTTCTGTTTGCTGCTTTGATTCATGGTGGCAGGTCAAAAATACTATGGCTCAGCTGGTAGTCTGAATGATTTTTCATCAAATTTTAGTCCTGCGAAATGGACTACATCCTTTTTAGTGCAAGCTTTTCATCAGAGAAATAGAAATAGCAGTTATTTATGCCAGGTAGAGTTTGGACAGTCCTATTAAGCTCTAAAATAGGGAATATCAGAGCCTTTGGATCTACTGAGAAACTCAGTAAATGTTGTTTTTCCCCAAGTCCCTTTTTGCCTGATGAATCAGTCTCTCTTAAACTGCACTCTATRGAGAAGCATAAGTTCCAAAAATAAGAATGTGGTTTATTTGGATTGCTGTTATTCTGCTATGAAGTTGCTGCAATGCAAAGACAAAGAGCCTGGACCTGTAAGACAGRCAAGAGGGACAAAAATAACATAAATAATATAAATAATATTCCTGTATATTGAGTAGGGTAGGATTTGGGTGGAGGGGCAGTGCTTTGGTTCTAAAAGCACACGCTGCACTGCTCTTGCTTAGCTTCAAGGGGCCTCTTTCAGTTCCAAAGAGCAGACAGTAGCCTTCGTTGCCTGCTTAGGCCAGGCATGGAGAACATCACCCCACCTCTTGAAAATCACAGATTTAAAAACAAACAAAAAACTCCCTAAAAGCAAACTGGTTTACCTTTGAAYTTTATCACTATTTCAGATTTTTACCAATCAACTAAAAACAGAGGAAAATTCCAGGTCCTTCAACATTGGATGCTGTTGAATGGTAACAGTCCTGCACCAAATATGATGAGTTTCAAATGCACCTTAAGAAACAACCTCCGTATGGGCTCACTGAGCTGCATGGAGTTGCTGGGGTGCAAGGAGATACGTTTCTATAGGTCTTCAGGACTTACAGGCTTATAAGCTCATGCATTTGTTGCATTTGTCATATTTGTCATCTTTCTTTAAAAATCTCTGTTGCTGAAAACTACTCTGATTTTAAAGAACAGACATCCTGTTGTGGGACTTGGGGCAAAACAGAGCCTATATTGCATCTATAAATGTGTAACAGTGTCTGATAACACACATATTCTTAAAAAACTGTTTTRGAAAGAAGTATTCTAATTTAGTGAGGTGGAATCCTAATGTAGGAGAAGAAAAGAAATCCAAGGGACCAGAGATCAGGAAAATCTCGAGTGGAGGAGTCTGTGGCATAGATTTTTGCTCCTGTTATCTGCATATGCATTTAAAGTAGCTGAATTAAAGACATTTTAAATCACTTAGCATCTAAGATACAAGCATGAAAATATTGCACATTTATTCTGCCAGTTTTATTGAGCATTTAGAAACAGCATCCTCTAAGTACTGTCCAAAGGTAGAAAGGGTGGATCTTCTTTCTCTTGCCATCTAAAATAGGTGGAAATCCATGTGATAAGATGTGTCCCAGGCTTAGGACAGCCATTTCTTCTTATATGCATGAGGATTTTCCTGCATTTTCTTTCCTGCCCCAAACTTCTGCTGTGATAAACACTCCGTATATTTTTCTTCTGCCCCCATGCCCTTGTGTAGACTGATGACTACCACGAATCCACTTSTGTTGCCTTACAGAATAAAGATCACAGATCAGGTTCCCATGGGAGGAATCAGAGAAACAGTACAAACAGTGGAAAAAGATCTGTGCTTATCAGAATCCAGAGCAATATTTTAAGTGGGAGCAGCCAACATGATCAATTGTAGAAGTGGGCAATGCTAGACCTTAGTTCTCCTTTGGTCCCCTCCCCTCATATTTATAGGTTTCTAATTTCCGCTGGATAATGAATATCGCTCTTCATTATAATTATGTTAAAAGGTACCAGCATGATGATTCAGAAACCCTTGAAGATACAGTCATATTTTCAGCAACAGATGGATTTAACACTGCAGATGGAGTGTTAAGAGTGCAGGTAATAACAAACTCAGCAATGTACTGTACTGAAATATAATTGGAAAGTATTAATCATATATTGGTTACTTCAGCTTCACTAAGTAGATGTTTAATTTTCATCAATCTTTTTACCAGATTCCCGGAAAGATTTCTGTGTAGACAGAGTGTGGCTTCTAGGTGAAATGATTGMAGAAATTATTAATGACCAGGGCCTTGATCTTGCAGGCATGTGCCCATGGCTTACCCAGGCATGCAGAATAAAAACCATTTGTGTTAATAAGGCTGTCAGATGGGGTCTGTTCAGACAACCTAAGTATCAGCTCGTGACTAGCCAATAGTAAAACCTGGACCCCTCTGAACCTGGGATTTACTGAGGACCAGCCAGCTGGAACTACAGGGACGAAGTGTGGGGTAGAATGTGGGCAATTTGAAAAGCTCAGTTGTAGAGAAAAACCATGAGGCTGGGTCTGTGCAGGGCTGGGGTTTGGCAAGCGGACAAACCTGGGGACTGGGCTTTGCTGTTCTTCATTATTTTGTCCAAGTATTGGCCTTAGAAATCTGCACTGACAGGAACTGGTGAACTACTGTTTCCATAAATTCTACCAYCTTGCAAGTTATTTTTGTATGTGTTTTTTTATTATTATTGTTTTGGATATATTTTCCCCCCAAAATGTGTCTCTTCCTAGAGGTTGTATTTGAAGCTCAGGTAGTTACTGAACTTCAGGATGCAAGATCAGGTCAATCAGTGATACCTGATGGCACAGTGACCCTGGTACTTAGTGATACTCAAAATTAGAATTTCATATGTAGAATCAAAAGCTGGATAGTGGTCCAGTGTGTTTCCTGCGGATCTACTGGAAAAAAAAAATTCCAGATTAGCCAGGTACTACTGGTCAATTCACCATAACAATCAAATGAAGTTCTGTTGGTATAAATGATGAAGTACAACTGCAAAGCAGTAGCTTTATAAAGACATTTTATTTGCTAACTAAAGGTTATAAAATTTACTAGGCAAGGTAAAGCCTATCTTGTATTTTAAAGCTTGGTAAGTTGTCTCTGGACTAGTGGCTTTAATTGCTTAAATCGTTACGTTGGGCAGTTCTCATCAGTTGGAGGAGACAAAAYACACACTCCTGCATCTCAGCTCCTCATGAGTTTCTAAACTTGAACAAATCAAATACTGAACTGAGTGAAATGGAATATAAACTGAGATGAAGAAAATGTGCTCTTTGCAGCTAGGGAAGCAGCCATACTTGTCCAAAACTGACCAACTTGTCCAAACTTGTCCAGTGGCTGGGCTTTCTGTAGAACTTTGGCATAATGATATTACTTTAGGTTTTTTTTTTTTTCATTTAAATTGATTAAGATCAATTTAGTGGACAACTGCCTTAATTTCAAATGTAACTTTTGGCACAGATATTTAAAAAGAAAAATCACACTTTTAAGATCTGCTCTTTTAAAATGCCCGTTTCTTACTTACTATATCATGAACACAATGTTTAATAATCTGACAGAGTAATTCAAAAGTGTAATGAATTTTTGTTATTTTGAGATTCATAACCAAGTAGTTTATGTGAGGTTAAGGATTTCTGGAGATGAGTGTTTGTGTTTTGTGAGGCACTGAGTGTTGCAGCAATGCTCCTTTCTTGGGATGAGACTGTGCTGTCTTCACTCACCTTGGTTTCTTTGGGCTTATGTGCACAACTGTGCAATGACATAACTTACTGCCCAGTCACCCTAAACAAGTACTAAATTATCTGCTTTTGAGAGTGATTTCACACCATTTAGATTTCCAGGACTGAGCCTTAGACCTCTCTTGCTGTTGCACTGAATCAGGTGGAAAAACTTCCCTGAACTCAAATTGCTCTGTTGTCCTCATTGTTTTAGAGGGAACTGTTATTTAAATGTTTTGTTTTTTTCAGGCCGTTTTCTTTCCCATGCCACTTTTCTGACTTTACTTTAAAACTATGCTACACAAAGTAACATGACAGAATTTCTCCCTGCTCTTCCCATGTATTTTTGAAATGAAGGAATATTAAAAGACAATCATCTTTTAAAATACATTGATTAAATACATTGATACATAGGGAAAAGGAAACATCAACTTGTTGCTTGGTATTTGGTCTGTTTTCTTTCATTTTGGTGTAACTGTCATTATTCGCTTTTCTGCTACAGCAACTACTCTACCATTGTGCAGAAATCAAAGTTGGCAGATAATTACTCAAGCCTTTGACCTGGAGGAGAGCTTTCCTTCAATACCTTAATCCTTCTTTCAGGTTGACAACCACCTGCTTCTCTCTCTCCCCCTGCTTTCGGGTATCTCTTTCCACTTGTGACTGCAGCAGCTTCTGAGATAGGAAGCAGCTTTCCTTGCTGCTCTGCTCTTCCTGCCAGCAGCCCAGTCCCTCATCCCATGGGCAGAATGGACTTTCTAATCACTGCCAATTTTGTGTTGGCCTTCTGAAAGCTGTTCCTGGTGGGGACTGTTTTTTTAAGTAGATGCCTCGTAGTTGCTGTTAAATAATATATATCTGTCTTGAGATCAGCTGCGCTGAGCCTTTCTGCAAGTCAAGTCTTCTGTGTCTCTTGGATTTTCTGAAATATATTCTATGAGATCCCCTAGGTTTCCTTAGAGCTATTCTCTGATTTTCTTAAAGATGCAGTTGATTTTGAAAATGACAGAAGGGTTGCTTTTCATTTTAGTACAGCATGGAGGCTCACTCAATTTATAGGACTGGGTGCTACATGCAAAAAGCATACCTTACAAAACTTATATTTTTTATTTAAATACTATACAGCCTCTTCTTTTTTTTTTTTTTTTTAGATGAACTTTAAAGTTGTTTTCTCTATAATGCTTGGTGGCAGCACACAACTGAAGAGAAGCCTTTTTTGTTTTTGAAGGATTTGTACACCCTCAGATGAACAGATGTTAACATGCATCTGTAGTTGGCCTCCACTGGGAACCATATCTACCTTTACTATTTAGAGCTGGTTGGAAATTTTTTGAACCAACTCTATGCTAAAGGCATAGATTTTACATGAGGAAAAGCTTCAAAGCATCTGCTTTCTGTGTCTAGTTTGTTTGGGGTTTTTTTTGCTAGAACTAAAAATTGATGTGTATCTTTTAACTTGAGAATTTCTGTTCAAAATATCAACTTTCTGTGGAAAAAGGAGACAGAGAAAATCTATCTGAGTACTTGTCAAAATTCTATCCAGACATGGTGATGACAACTTCTGGGTTTTAGCTACTTATCATGATTTGTTGCTGCTTTAGATACTCCTGTTTGATATTTCTATCAATGTGGGTTTAGTAGATGACTTATTTGAAATTTATTTCTGATTTTGCTGTTGATTTTCTTGTGTAACCTTAGACTTAAATTTTCCAAGGCATCTGCCAGTTTTGCCCGTTTTGCTGTAGGAGATGGGAGTGAGAGTATAGAGATGGGGTAGAAGTCCCTTAGAGACACCTCAGCCTTAGATTTCCAAGGTGCTTAGTCCTTGTGTTGTGAGTCGCTCAGGAATTTCCAGTGTGATTTAAGTACTAATGTTGTTGCAAAGTCCTGGGAAGACATCATGGAAGCAGGCATACTCCACAAGGACAAGGTCACACCAAACCAAGGACAGAAAAAGTCATGATCAGAAGAATGGAGCATCCATCTATTGCATGAGAGAATTGGCTTGACTGCATTTGACTTGTGGAGCTCAGCAAAACCAAGTGTAAGTAGGAGATAGAATTACCTCTAAGTCATTCGGGAATAAATGTGTGTGCATGACAGGGACTAAATTATTTAGGGTAATAGGTGATATTGACACAAAACCAGACAGATATAAACCAGCAGGAAGAGACTTAGGCTAACAATTAGAGGACAATTTCTCACCAGTAGAGCAAAAAGATCCTGAACAGCTCTCAAACAGAGGCAAAGAAACTTAAAAATTGGAGCATAATGTGTGTGTGAAAAGGGGTTTACTTTCCTGATTGGTTTTACTTTACTTGACTGTTTGTGTCAAGTGGGGGCAGAAGGTGATGACCAGAGCTGTGGGTACTCTGTTTAAGCCTTTATTTGGGATTCACACAGGCTGCCTCTGGAGAAGGCCTCTCCCTCCCCTCCAAGAAACATTTCATACTCTCCAACTCTCTAGTAAAACTGATAGAGGCCTTCACTGTGCCATTAAGCAGTGCAGCTTTTGCAATTACAGAGAGCATTGAGGATCCTCAAAGAAGATACTACTGCAATGGCAAATCTTTCATTATTTTGCTGTTAAAATCTTACTATTCCAGTGTCAGTGATTCGTATTACCTCTACAGTACTAGTTACTGGTCATTTAGCCTATAATTCAAGGGCCTGAAGTCTTCAACTCTAGACTTGTTTTTTTGAAAACCACATTTAACTCAGATCTAAATCTGAATAGGTAAGTCTATGTTAAAATATTAAATGTTTACAAGTAGTTGAGCTGTTTCCCAAGAGAAGAAATGATGTTCTTTATGTTCTTGGATTGGTTTATGTGTTCCTTCTGAGCGTGATTTCTGGACCTGTACCCTCTGTTCCTCCCTTGGAGGTGAAGCAGGACATCGTTCTCACTTGGAAATAATCACTCCAGAGGGACAAGCATAACAAATAACAGAGGGACAAGTAGAACAAATGGTTCTGATGAACCTTTGTCCACCTCTACCAACTCTACATCTCTCCCATTTTATGAATGTTATGTTCTGGCCTGCTGATAACCAGTAGCCCAAGATTCATATGGGTATGTTGTCTAATACTATTTCACTTTCATATTGAGCTTTAATTACTATATGTATTTTTTAGTCAGTTCCTTAGGCTATAGTGTTCTGCCAGAACAGTCTGGTCCAGGACTTATCATGGACTGAATCAAAATCATGCTGTTTCTTCAGCTGTAACATGCTTCATGGAGTAGGCAGAAAATGCCATACCATTATAAAGTGGATGCTGCTTGGGAGCCAACGGCAACATTGTGCTTGTCTTTAGAGGAGTTGGGCTATTTCAGACTATTTGGCTAATGAGTAAACTGAGAGATCTGCTGCTTTTCAGACAATATATAATATTGGCTTTGCCTCTGTGCTTTACATTTTGGATCCTTTGCCATTAGGATTTGAAGCATATAGACAGCATCTAATCCAATTTAGCCTGTTCATTTTGGCAGTGCTGGCAATGCTGACAGCTTAAAGAAAACACTTAATTTGACTAAGTGTTTCCAGTTTACATCTCAAAATATTTGAAGTCCTTATGGCCAAACTACTACAGCTCTGCAATATATGCAGTTCAGACCCATTTTAGCAAGTTAATTACTATTTGTGGGAACCTGTAGCCTTTGCTCTGCTGAAGGCTCAAGTAGAAGCTGCCTGTAAGGCTGCACAGGTGCATGGTGTTGTCTTCATTGCTACCTCCCAGAGCTGAATACCCACAGGTGATGCAGAGCAGCCCTGTACATGCCCTGGTGAATACCAGGTGCCCTGGTGTGGGTTGGTAGCACTGGAGCACATGTCTGGGATGGTGACCCCTCCTCATTGGGAATCTGTGAACCTCTCTTCCAAAGAACCTCCTTGGGCAACACTCTTCTCCCACACACATTTCAGACTGGGAAAGAGCTTTGGCCCTAAATAGAAGTTCCTTTGTGGCAGCAGAGTGTGTCTGGGAGTGGGTCTCATCAGCAGCAGTCCCCTGTTGTGATGCTGGATGAGTCACTAGACCTCCAGGGACCTCTTGAGTGCCAACTCCTTCTAAACTGATGGGCAGCATGTGTCAGCCTCTGCTGGGTTCCAGTCCCAGGCTGTATCCCCATGGTCTCTGCCATACACCAGCAGCTGAGGAATTGCCACCATTCCTTTCCTGACAGCATCTCACCCTTCACCTGCTGCCGCCCAAGCGGAGGAAGTGTAATCTAAGCTTTAAGTGAATTGCTTTAAATACCAAACACAGATCCCAAACACTGAGCAGGATGTAAGTAGAATGGAGAAACATAAACGAGAATAGAAAAGGACTAAAATAATTTATCACTGCAATCAGGGAAGTGTTATTCTAGTGTGAGGCAAGTGTAGTTGCAAATGCAATCACAAATAACTCCAAAGCAGGCTGAGCATCAGTACAGGCTAATAAGCAGCAGAAATATCTAGGGCTCCTCAGTGATCCTGCTTCTTTACTAGCACATGCCACCATGTCTCCTGTGCTACTGCAGGTCGCAATAGCTCACTTAGCTGTCTTGCCTGAAGTTCTGGGAAATTTCAACATATTCTTGATATTCTGAGTGCCTGTATGGCATTGAGATTCATACCTCCTGTAGAATCATTAATGATTCAGAATCAGAGTAGGTATGTAATTCCCCTTTCCTACAAAGATTGCCTTAGAAAATTTCCTGCTATGAATGAATCATTTTGAACTGCTGGGTAGGAGAAGGTTATTAAGGATGGTGGTTTGGTAGCACTCAAGAAACTTTCTGAGATGATGAGGCTRTAAGAACTTGCAGAGCTTTGAAGGTGGTCCTGCTACAACAGCACAGAGATAGTTTTCTTTGGTACATAAATGTGAAATAATTTTCCTATCTGCGTGTGATTTTTTTTTTCTTTTTTTTTTTTTAAATGATTTCCTTAAGGCTTCCTTTTCAGAGATGCATGCTGGCAAGTTGCAATACCACTGAGAATGGAAGGTCCACAGCTACAGTAGGAGTAAGGAACTTGGAAAATGCAACCGGTGCGGAAGAGTGAACAAGGTCACTGGTGACAAGGCTCTGCTCCATCTGTGCAGGCACGGTCTATAACAGAAGCATTCCAGCAACGTGGCATTTTGTCACATTATTCCATTCCTTTTAAATTTCAATAGCTAGTTATTTGCCTGCCTTTGGTTATGAAACAAAGCCCCTCTTTGTGCGGCAACACAACGTGGCTATCTCGTGTAACGAAATGCAAATTTCTCAGATAACACAGGAGCTGTGCTTGTCTGTGGAAGAAGGAAGCTTTGTCTAGTGACAGGGCAGAAGAAGGTGCTGTTGCCCAGTGCCTCTCACAGCCAGTCCCAAAAGGTAGAAGAAACCACGATTTGTGGAGTCTTCTGATGAAATCGACATTAAAACCTCCCATGACCCCATTTCACCTTTCATAAAATAGGGACAAAAATTAGTCTGCTATTGTATGCAATTCAGCAAAGCATTTCAATGTKKTTTTTTTTTTTTTTTTTTGGTATGCAAGCATGCAAGAAGATCCCCAAAGGTCTGCACAGAGCAATATGCGTGCTGAAGTATTATGTATTAGGTCTAAGTGGTTTGTAAAGGTCTTGGAGAACTTTCAGGTGAGGACCATTAATTACTAAGTAAGAAACTCCTTCAATTTTTTTTTCTTTTCTTTTTATTTTTTCACTGTTTTCAAGGAAGTGTGTATTCTTGCACTATGAGTTAATATTGTTGCTTTATGCTTTTAGTTCAGGCCTCATACAGAGAAAAGAATACTAGTTAAATAGCAAAGTGAAAAGAACACTGCTCCTAGAGCTGGAGCAAAGATACAAAGACCTTCAGGATACCATTCAGAAAAGAACTCAGAATACTAAATTTTTGCACTGCCAATCACAGGAAATGGGGTTCTTGGTCAGGCTTGTTTTGTTTTTTATTTTGCTTTGTTGTAAAATAAATTCCTCACTAGCTAAAAAATTCCTCACTAGCTATGAATTCCTGAGATTCAACCCTGGTTGGTATTATTAGTTAGTGAGGAAATATTGCTCCCCTTTTAGCAGGTTCTTGACATTYTGTTGGATCAAAGCTGCTTGTTGGTAGTGCTTTTAAGCTGCTCATGCACTTGTTTATATATATTTCTTCTCTCTCTTATTTTCCTCATCTTTCTCCAGCCTTTACTTCATATTCCACTCCACCTTTTTGCTACCTTCCAAGTTCAAATCTCAGGCTGTCATCACACACAGCTTTTCTCTATGGAGTGCTGCTTCATTCTTCCTCCTGTCTTCCTCTGCTCTTCCCCATTGCTTTCCCTACCAAGCATGTCCCACTTTGCACTGGCCATGACATTTAAGAACAGCACCATTAAGGTGTGATCCTACGGCTGTACACTGACAACTCGGCAATYTCAGGAGATCTTCCAAGAGCAGCTTCTCTCCAGGTGGGAATTAGAGGTAGTCTAGGTAAAGCTGTGAGTGAACATGGTTCTTCAGTGAAGTAGTGAAGAGTTTGTCTGCATATCAGACCCCTAGAAAAGCTATACTAACATTGTGAATACCAAGAACTATTCTGAGTACAAGCTAGTGATGCTGTCAGGAGTAAAATTGACCTCTGGCATCAGCTAGAACTGGGCAGAGATACAAGCCAGTGCAGTGGTGCTAATGAAAGCATCCCGAGGGGACAGAAAAGGCTCTTGGCCTGCACACCCGAGACATACTTCTGTTGGTGCCGAGCTGCCAGTTTGAGCATCCTTTCATAAAAATAACCCCTATGGAGAGACAGAGGAAAAGGAAGATTTCTAATTAAAAAAAAAAAAAAAAACCCCAGAAGATTCCCAGGCTACATTTTAAATGGCAGCACTGGGAGCTTTAGGATCTGGCTGTTGGGGGCTTGTCATGCTTTTCCATCATGCTCCTGCCTCTGCTGCTGCGCAAGCACGCTGGAAACAGTGCCACAGTGTCTCTTCACCTCCATGCACTTCTGAGCAGGGAACCTCGGGCTCTGCAGCTAACTTAGGTGTATCTGGGGAAAGATGTCTGGTTAGACTGATGTTAAACACCGAACAAATCCCTTTTGAACTGAAGAAGAAATCAGGAAGGAATTTGTTTCCTCTTCTGCTCCTGGTTTAATACCAGAGGTACATTGCCCTTTGCAGGCTTCCAGATTCAATGGCCTAAGTAACAAACATCTCTAAGCACAGAGCAGTTCTCAAGTTGCTCATCACTGCATATAAAATCAAGAGGTTATCTGTGTATGGCAGTCTCTTGGCTTTATCAGATGGCCAGCTCCTAATAACTGATACTAGAAAGCAGATTTGTTCAGACTAGAGTAATTTTAGTCTTTGTTCTCTCAGGAATGTGTGGTGGATGGAGCATCTTAAGCCAAGTGTCCATGTGGAATATGTGAATGCTTTGGGAGAAGACCAGAAGGACCTCTTTGTTAGAGACAGACCTTCAGTGTGACTTTCAAGAAAAATGTGCTTCTCTCACCTGGCTGCAAGGAGAGTTATGCTGGGATTGTTGTGAGTATATACCCTATAATGCATGGCTTTTTGTTTAAAAATGATTTTATTGGAGTTGAATGTGGCTAAAAGTGCATAGTTTAATGGGGCACTACTTTACAATGGCTTGTATGGTAGGAGAGAGGAACCATTTGGCAAATCAGGCTAGACCAAATGGCATTCATTTGGTTAATCACTAGCTATTAAAATAGCATCAAATCATAGCAACCTATTTGTTTATCATTCAGTGCACAATTTTCTGCACAGTATATTCGTAACTGCTGTACCCAAGCTAATTTTAAATGAGCCAACAAAGCCATTTTCCAGCACTCTCCTGGAAATGGATCTGTAAACTGACAGATCTCACTGCTTCTGGGACTATGCCCCCATAAAATCAGAGCTGAGGACCTAGGCATTTAACTTTGAAATAAGCTGATACATGCTTTATAATCAGCGTTAAAAATGTATGTTTTTAATCTTTTACATTACTCTGGGTTTCCTTCAATTTATGGGCTCCTTAAGCAGGTTATATTAACTATGTCTGTCCAAGCATGAATATTCAGGGTCCTTTGCAGATTGTGTTGAGATTTCTGTTAGCAATGGCCTTCAGTAAGTCTACAGTGTTTCCTTTCTGTGCTATCATGAACTGAGTAAATGACAAACCTCTTTTCTTCAACTCAGGAATATAACAGTATCTTTGACCTTAATCTTCAAAGGTAAAGCAACAACCGATTTCTGAGGGCTGATCTCTCACACTAGAGATGAGTAGGAGTAGGAGCTCCCAAGGATTAAAAAAAAGCGGAGCACTAGAGCTGTGGTCTGTGCAGAGACTAAATTAATTGATTTTAGTCAYAAGAAAAAGAAAGGATGAAGATGTGGTAGGAACAAATGCACAGTGAAGCCCTTCAGTTATTTGTACTGCAATATTGCTTAGTAGCCTTCATGATGAACCACTTCTAGGAATTCTGGAAAAATTTGAGGAAAAAAATGTAGAATGCCCAATTTCTCCTTTGGTAAATCTAGGTGTTCTYCTAATCTTGTTTGCTCACCTTTAAATTTACATGTTTTTTATTTTGGATAGGCAGAGGCCATACAGGCTGAGGAATGAGTACAAATTGGTTTGGCAGAACTGGTCTTGCACAGATTCCCACTGTGTCCACACACCTAGTGTCAGTGAAACACATGTGTCCTTATTTTCAGGGATGCAACGGGAAGCATTCAAACYTCAGAGCTGTCTTAAAGCTAGCTGAATAGTTGGCTTGGCATTTAATTCTACGTGTCAGTTGATTGGTCATTTTATCACCAGTTATGGAGTGAAATTAGATAATCTAGATGCCATATGGTATACAGTATTTATAGTTTAGTATGTTTTCAATATATGTGTGCTAAAGGCTGCTTCAGGGAGTTGTTATGGTCCTTGTGTTTACAGGATTTGGGTTTTGGGTGGAAGAAGAAATTGACAGTTTCTAATTATTTGATTTAAACTGATACATCAGTGGCCACATGGATGAGCCCTAATTAATGTCAATTTGCACTTTCTGTCCTTAGTCAGGAAGGCTTTCAGCTGCTGTCCTGGATTAGACCCAGTGCCCTTGGAGTCCTGCTGCTGATCTCTGGCAATGGTCTGAACCAGAAGATCTTGGAGGAAGGGGTGAGAACCCCCCAGGAGCCCTGTGATGCTCAACTTCCACCCAGGTCCCCCTTCCCACCAGCCACAAGCATGTGGTGTCTCATGAGCATCTCCAGCAGAGGGGGATTTAACCCTGAAGTCTCTCATTGAGGATCATTGTCAGCATTACAAGTTTTAATTGCTTTTTCTAAATTCTTACTTTGCATGAAAATGCTCCCTTCCCTATAAATCTTGATAAATAAGGAATTGCAAGATTAATTATGTGGGACATTAGTCACTCAATTTATGCCATTATGTTCTCAAAGCAAGAATGAATGCCTGAATGAATGTCATGAAAGGATCTTGGAGATCTGCATTTGGAGCAGTCACAATTGTGATAAAATAGGAGTGCATCCTTAATCCCAAACATCAGTTGCCTCGTACAGGTACCCAGCCTAGGCAGTTGCAAGGTGTGAATAAAGATAATTTCTTGACTGCTTCTCATCAAGCAAAATCCCTATGCTTCTTTTCAACCCCAGTAACAGTAGCAGCAAAACGTGCGAGGCTTTAGAGCATGGGCAGGCCCTTCTGAGATCCACTTCACAGCCACGATCCCCTCTCTGCTATCATGTCTTAGTTACTCAGACTTGTCATAGTGGCAAGCCAGGCAGAAACTGGCCCAAGCTAGATCAATACATTTTTAAAATTTGCAAATCATAACAATAACAAACTCTGAGAAAAAGGAATGTTCAATTGGCCTTTAAGAACCCAGAGAACGTTAGAGCACAGCAGAGTTAATAAATGTTACAGTCTTTTTTTTTTGGATATAATTCCTGCAGAATATGATTTCATAATCCGCTGTCTCTAGTGAACAAGACCTCTGTAAACACTCAATATTCAAATAGAAAATTGTTTCTTGTAGGCTTCCATGGCACAAAATAAAAGCTCTGTAAATCTGGGCCTCCATATGTGGTTCTCAGCTGGTGTAAGTCCCTGAATGAATTACATGTGAACAGAGAAATTAATGCTACACACATGGTGGCCAAACTTGAAAGCAAATATTGCAACTGAGAATACACTGCAGTGGATTGTGAAATATTTGAAGATAAATGGAAGCTTGAGTCCTTGTTGATATGATGCATCATTGATGCATTTCAAGGGATATACAGCTATCACAGTGAGAAATGATAACATAGAGATCAAATTTGGAGGAGTACAAGGTAYCACTTTTTACAAACAGAGATTGAATTTAATCAGAAAGCAAACTAAGAGGAAAAATAGGCAATAATGAYATGTGATAACATAAGAAATAAATATAAAATAAGCAATAATACCGTCATTTTGAACATTCATTGGATAAGCTACTTTCTCTTTCTTTTGAAATCCCACAACTTACTGTTGAAGCAAATGAGTAAATTACACAGGTTTTGAAACAATTGTGCTCTAAACTTGCTTTTTTTAAATCTCTAAATGTTGATGACAAGAGTTTCTGTGCTTTTGAACCAGTTGCAGTCTTCCTGTGGTTGTTGTGGCTGTTTTTTCCCCCTTCTCATCCAGGCAGGGGAGGAGGAAAGACTGCGTGTTATAATGAATTCTAAATGAGGACTGTGCCTCCCCTGTTTGTAAAAAGCCAAGCAAAGCAGTAAAAATAATAAATAAAACAAATGAAGCCCTCTTTAATCCATTCATGAGCTCGAGTGTCTCAAGCCGGCCATAATATTCAAAGAGAGAGTTCTGAAAGAGATGGATCTGAGGAAAGGACTGCTGCTGAGACAATGTCAGCCCATTTAATTGAATTACTTACTTGTCGGCATTGTGTTTTCCCATGTCCGGGATTCTGCTGTTGACTCAAGGCTTAAGGCCTAAATAGAAAGGGCAACAACTGTCATGTATTTTGATCCTGAACAAACTGTGTCCTTTCGAAATGCCAGCGTTGGGAAGAGCACTGGATGTTTGGTTGCAGCAGAGGGCAACAGCAAATGAGCTAATGAAAATGTTCCCCYATGTATTTCCCCTTGCTGCAGATCTGGGAGAGCATGCAGGGAATTTGCCCTGAGAATCCTTTACACCTGGTGTTACTTCTATAGCAGGTTACTTGCATTTGACTGGGTCTAGAGTAGTAAACTAAGAATGGGGCTAGAAGGCAGGAGCTCTCAARTCAGTCATTTCTTTGTCTGAATTGATTTGGCAGGTTTTTTATATAGAAAATCTATACCTTAGTCATGAACAATTGCAAATATTCACTGCTTTATGGTCGGAATTTAAACTGTTCT